GCGGTAATTATGATGCAAAGATGAGAGTATGTGGACCGCGTGGCACTAATGAAATAGTAGAAGATAATATAGGTAAGTTGTAGTGCTTGGGAACAAGGTTATTCCGGGCGAAAGCCCTTGGAATTAACCTCGTTCCCAAGCACTACAACTTACCTATATTATCTTCTACTATTTCATTAGTGCCACGCGGTCCACATACTCTCATCTTTGCATCATAATTACCGCGACCTAACATCTATTTCACCCCGGCCTGCTCTCAGTCTGACCTCTAGCTCAGCTGGTAGAGCATCGGTAGTACAATTCCGAAGGTCGTGGGTTCGGATCCCAGCGAGGTCGGAAATTAATTTTTCCGAATTTAATTCCAAGGGCTTTCGCCCGGAATAACCTCGTTCCCAAGCACTACAACTTACCTATATTATCTTCCATTATTTCCAAGGATTGCATGGGATATGATAACTTTTGCAGTGAACCCCCAAGCTCATGAAATTACCTTAATAAATCAAMCTATTTTATATTCATTAGTTATTGATCATAATTTTGTTGTTATCACACACTAAACTGTTTCATTATGATTATATGATTATGATTTATGATTTATATAGCGCCCTTTAATATGTGGATATAATCAAAGGCGCTTTACATGGAGTTGTGAATGACAGATTGCTTTATGCAATTTACAAGCACGAGAGATGGTTAGTATGAAGTGGAGGCACTGAGGGTGGTAACTGCCAGGGTTTCTTTTTACGTCCTCAGTAGTTGTTTTATGTCCCCCATTTTTACTGTAGGTTAGGAAGGGTTAGGAGACAGGGCCTACGGTTTAAAGTCCTTGTCCGAGAAGACTTGAAGGTCTAACCATTTGAAGATATTATTACAAAGGCAGCACCTTCTCCTCAGTTATTTTAAGACCCTGAGTGTTGGTCCGGCCGAGGCTTGAACCACGACCTCCTGCACAACAGACCGACGCTCTTACCAACTGAGCTAACTGGGTGGCGGTTATTGACATTCCAGCTTCCTTCGTAGCATTGCATATAGGGAGTTCACAAGACTAGTGCATGGGTATTTGGGATACAAGAGACGAATTCCACTACCAGCCTGTGCTTACACACGCATCAGAAAATGCTTCAGAATTTCTGAAGATGAACTACACAGTGGGTTTGAAATGGATCTTGAGCCTTTAGTTTGACTGCACAATGACGATATAAAATTAAAAAGTATTTAATACAAATTTGTAGATGAAACAATTTAGTGTTTTAATAGTTGATGTTTTTTTTAACTTCTTTGGTTTTTTGGACAGTCAATGACATTCTTGTGTCCTTTCATAGGATTTTTGCATAGGCTGCAATGTGGGGTTCTCTTGGCATGTGCTCTATTTGTTGGTTGGTTTTGTTCAGGGACATCTAAAGAAAAAATATTAAAAATGTATAAGTAATATAAGATTAATAAATTTAGCTAAGATGTAAAAAGTACCTGCACAAGTAGGGAGAACATCCTCAACCACAATGCTTTTCCTTTGCAAGTGCTTTTGAATAGCCTCCTCTCTTGGCTGCTTCTCCAGCATTGAATTTATTGGTGCTGGAGTCATCCGTCTTAATTCATCTTGGTTAGCAGTCAAGTCTTCTTTTGATGAATTCATGAACGTCTGGAAAATTTCTTCCACGTAACCTATAATAAAAATTGAGGCTAAAATTATGATAGTGACAAAAATGTAACCATTGAAGCCCAACACATAGCCTACCATAGTCTGGTTTAACTCGGACATCCCTTATCGTGGCTTCTCCATTTTTGAACTTTGGATACACCACCTTTTGTCTGTTGTTGCCTCCCGTTGTTTCTACCTCTCTCCGAAGATTAAGGTTGAAATGYATAGCAGCAAGAATGTGTCTGAAAAGAAAATATCCACATTTTAAACGCATTCGGTTAAGTTTTGACAGGGTTTTACCTTAGTCATTTCATTTTGGGGTTCATTGGACTCCCAACCCAATACCTTACCAAGTTATCTAAAACTGAATCCTATGGCATATATGTTTTTCAAACTCTCTTTATTCCAAAGATATTTTCGTGTCCCTAGAAAGCAATCT